ATTAGCTTATATTTGAGCATTTTTTTTTATGAGTTAAAGTATGTTTATAATAGATTAGTTTATAATGGGTAGTTTTATATAAACTTGGGAAGATGAATGTTTAATCCTGTAATCAGTTCTGGGAAGTCCGGGGGGGTTAGGTGGGGATGGGGGTGGGAGGAGTATAGGAATAGAGTTATTAGTATTGACTTAAGGGGAAATAGGATATATTAAAATAATAATAGATTAGTTATATGTATAATTGAGTTAATTATATTGAAATAATTTGAATTGTATAAATATGATTTTGTTTTGATTAATTGATGGCCTTGCCACCATGTAAAAAAAAACCAATAAAAATTTTGTTGAAAAAAAAAAAAAAAAGGAGAAAGTAGAGCAGAATCAGACTTACAAGATTCCGTTAATACAGCCAATCTCAGTAAAGTTGTTTTAGCCCTCCTACTGAGTCAATTTCCTAGTCTACCTAGCAGAATTGACATTACTGTCGCTAAGTAAAAAAATCTTGTTTTCTCTTTATTGTAAACCCCTTAATTTACAGAGGGTGGCACGGTGGCTCATTAGTTAAGATACTGGGATTGTCGACTGCAAAGCCAGCAACTCAAGTTCAAGACCCAAGCGCCACATGACGGGGTGAGTTCCCATTCTTGCCCCAGCTTCTGCCAAACTAGCAGTTCAAAAGCATGCAAATGCAAATAGATAATTAGGTACCATTTTGGTGAGAAGGTAATAGCGCTCCATGACGTCATGCTGGCCACATGACAGCAGAAATGCTTCAGACAACACTGGCTCAATTGCCTTGAAATGGAAATGGGCATTGCCACCTATAGATGACAACAAATAGCAGAGTAAAATCCACAGGGACTTCTTTACCTTTACATAATTTATAGAAGGAACTACCAAATTTGGCATCAGATCCATGAGAGAAGCTTGTAACAGTCTTCAAATGCTTCCACTAGAAAAGAAAGCAAGTTTTTAGTTCCATGGCTCTTGGAAGCCCCATGGAATTTGTGCCACCCTCTCTATCCTCACAACCTCAGATCAACCCTCTCTACCCTCACAATCTCAGATCAACATATATATGAAGTCTGGTTCCATAGCTCCTGGGAGGAAGCAGCTATTCACTACTGTTTGTAGCATTGCAGTGCTTCTGTATTTCTTGCTAGGTGGATTGTCCCATCCCCATCCATTTACATGACACAACCTAGCCAATTTCACAACATCACCCCTTGCTTGCTGTAGCCTTCTCTGAATAAACTTCCCCCACTCCCTACAAAACAATAAAAAAAACAAATACTTGTTCATCCTGTAAAAGATTGTCTGTTCCTGGAGTAAACTATGTAATAATGAGCAGTGGACATATGTTTCCAATCTTCAGAGAGGGTTTTACTCTTTTTACCACCACCACACATATCTTATTATGTCTGAAATAATCCCATTAGTATTTAAATAGCGTTGCAAGCTTTGCACATGCTCTGTCTGATATTGTGGATTCTCATTCATCCAGAGATTGCAGTTTAAGTACAGCGTTTTGAGAGCTGATGCTGCACTACCAGCAGATCCCTACCTAAGCAAAGGAGTAAAAATGCTTTTTTCCCCCATGAAAACTGTAACGCATTAATCTATTTGCAAGGCTTGTTTTCCATTGGATCTATTGGCAGCGGAGGATAAGAATCCCATTCTTTGTCTTTTTTTAAGAAGGCAGATTTACCGTAAATCAAAGGAGACAGGTGACAGCAATTGCTAGACATGCATTGTTTACTAACAAAATGTAGGCTCTAGCTGTAAGGATTTCAGAATCAGTCATGGATTTTAGCACTTCATCAGTGTTTGATCATCAGAAAGGTAAGATAGTTGTTTTCTCATTCTAAGATTCATTCACTGAATATATTTCTCCTATCCTATAGTTGTATTTCATGAACACAGTACAAAAAGCTCTACGTTGTATAGGGAAAATCTGGGGTAACGTGAATTTTAAGTTAAATTGTCCAATTTGATTTTCTGAACTTGTTGATTTTTAAAGCAGGTTCTTTCTGCAGTCTGTTTTGAAAACAGTCATTTATATCTGCTGCCTAAATTGTTAATTGAAACAGGTGTATTGTTGGAGGAGGGGAGGAAAGCTGGCAGTGCCTGCCATTTGTTCTTATCTTTGATCAATGATTTTCTGTGCCATTCAAAACCTGCGTCCTATGTTTTGTCATTAGTAAAGAATTGTGTTTCCGGATCGAAATAAATGATTATGAAACTACAAAATGAAAGTAATAGAAAAATGTGTGGCTGGAGTCATTATTTTCTTTGAAGAATTATTTAAATTAGGTGTTTGGGAATGTTTGTGTTAAAATGCATAATTAAATTTGCCGAGTCTTAAAATAAACATACTTTTTTTTCTGGAACAATTAAGGTGGATGTAATAATGATCTCTTGGGGGTGGGAGGTGATAATTTTGTCTCAATTTTATGTTTAAGATCTTTATACTATATGTTCAATTCTATTTCTTATCTAACTTTTTATGTAATTAATTAAAGGATTAGATTTCTACTGTGAAATAACATTACAGATTGATATTGCCTTAACTATCTTTATACTTCCCCCTGGCATTTCAACATTTTTTGTTTTTGTTATCTATATTGTTGTTTTCGGTGCTACTTCTTGTAGACTCCATTAATTTAATTGCTAATATGAGCCATCAGGGATCCTTCAATTCCAAGGCTTCTCCATTTAATTCAGTCCAAAGGGCAATTTCATGCAAGGTTTTGGACTTGGTTAAGAGTAAGAGAGCAAGTGTGCGTATGAATCACTGAAGCACACCAAGGTAATTTACATAGATTACAATCTTTGCCGTCTAAGACTCCATCTCCAGATACAGACAGTCACTTATTAAAAGGGAATTGACAAACATGGTAAGGATTTCTCTATTCCGAATTTCAGAAAGATGAGAATCCCCATTCACAGCAAAGAAGACCATAGGCAGAGTGTGACCCAATACTCTCCCTGAATAATCAAAAGCAACTGCTACACCATTGAAATGTGGAAACAAGATTCTTGGGCCAATGATATTATTTCCTCAAACTATTCAACAAAAACTTCATATAATAGAATTGGACACATGGATTAACATCTGTAAATATTACTGTAGTGGTTTTTAAGCATAAATTTTCTGTCTTGGGTATTCAAAGAGAAAGGCAAATTAGAGAACCCAATCTTTTTTACAATCCATTGTTCTGCTGTCCATCACTGACTTCAATGTTTTCTTCATTGCATTGTTTTACGCTGGTGCTTTTTTCATGATTCACCAATACTTGCATATTACATACAACAAAATTAATTTGTACAAAATAAAAATATGTGATGGCCATGCAGTTTGCATAAATTTTATTGCACCAAACATCACTCCTACTTTATTTTTATTGTTTGCTTTTTCTATGGCTTTTATGCCATTCACTTCCTAAGGTTCCCAGTGGCTTATATCTACCTAAGAAACATACAGTTTGAAATATAACCATTTATATTACTGAGGCAATATATTTTCATGTTCCATTTAAATGCTCAGCCTTACCAAAAGCAATCCTGAAGCTCCATGTCTGAAGTTACAGTATATGAATAACGGAATGGCAGAGTGGGGGTGTGGATAGCAGTTAAGATCTTATGCATCTGATTTTCATACATTCATATTAAACCTCCCCCGCCCCCCAATGCATGCAAAATGTGAAAGACTACTTATACAATCCAGATTCCTTACCATTATGCACATATTGAGTGAGTTCTCTGGACTTCTTATGCACAAGAACAACAAGAACAGAAAGGCATTGGAGAAAGGCATTGCCATAGACCCCTCTTAGAGGACCTGGTAGACTTACTAGCAGAGTTGCAAAGAAGAGTAACAATAATGCTTTGAATAGAGTGTCAACAGATTAAAACCATGAGCTATACTTTTCTTGGAGGAAATTCCAAGTCATTATGGAAAATATAAATATCAGATCTTTGAGAAAGTGAGAAGGTTAAAACTGTCATTGACAGTGATTTCTGGTGACGCAGATCTTCGTAGGTGTCCAAGAATGCTAAATGTTAATGCTGGTCACATCAGATAACTGTTAGATATTCCTGCTCCCCTTTCCCTATAATGCACAAAGGACATGTTTTTCATAGGGAATATATATCCTGTTCAAAACAATCCCATGTTTTACCTGTGATTCTGCTAGCCTTCGTATCTATTTTTAAAAGGCCAATAACTAGTGTTAATATAAAGGATAATGGTTACTTGGTATATCCTGCCCTCCCCCTTTTTTAAAAGAGAGATTTTCAAAGACCCTCCTATTAGATTTCTGCTAGCACCCTTTTTCTTTTGGACTGTTAGACTAGCCAGAATTGTATTATGGGAAGAAAAACAGGATAAAGATACATGGACATTCTGGGGGACTATCCATCCATATGGTCATTAAAAGGTGGCATTGATTTCATGGCATTATACAATGTGTCATTATCATTTCCATTGTGAAGTACACTAAAATAAAACTATTTGGGAAATTATTTTGAGCTGCATTAATTAAAATAAGGAATAAATAAAGTCCACTAACAGCAGCAGTGAGCTATAATAAATTCCTGTATAATTCCATCATTTCTGCAGATGGAATAAATTGCCACTTGTTGCCTAAAGTTACAGAGCCGGGCCTAGCTGGGCATTTGTGTGCAAGCATGCCCTTGGTGCCTGAGTAATGAAAGCTCCTGCCAGTAATTGAAGGGATAGAAGCTAATTAGAGTATGTTCATGATGCTGAAGCAGCAAATATAGGTAATGTTTTCATACAAATTTCCAAAGAAATAGGTTGACTATGCAGTCCACTGTAAAGAAAAACAATCTATTCTGCTAGACAGAAGTTCCCTAAAGATAGGCTTCAGCACGAGTCCAAAACCTCTCGTCCTGGTGACCAACCCAGATTGTATCCTGCAACATTATCCTGGGACACATATATTTGCCTTCATTCAAAGGCAAATCTATTTAAGTATCCTCTATCCGGTTCAAATCTGGTTTTAAAGAATGGATAATATCGATCCATAGAAAAAGCAGTGGAAATTACACAACATCCCTTTTTTTATTTATTGATTGATTGATTGATTGATTGATTGATTGATTGAATTTATATACCACCCTATCTCCCTTACGGGACTCAGGGCGGTGAACAGGCAATAATAAAAACCACGATAAATATACACAAATTTCTGTCTAAAATCAAATTAAATAACAGGCCTGCTCTAAAAATACCCCAACAAAACCACCACTAAAACATAATCAAACTACGCCAGGCCGGCCGCACGGAATAGATGAGCCTTCAGGGCTCGGCGAAAAAGGCGCAGGTCCGCAACTGTACGTAGGTCGGGGGGTAGGTCATTCCAGAGGGCAGGAGCTGCCACAGAGAAGGCTCTCCCCCTGGGGGTCGCCAGCCGGCATTGTCTGGCCAACGGCACCCTAAGTTGGCCCTCTCTGTGGGAGCGGACTGGTCGAAGGGAGGTGTTTGGTAGGAGGCGGTCTTGCTTTAGCTGTGAACGAGTTTATGTTCCATGTCATAGGCATCTGCAATTGTTAAAGTGGCTGAAGAAAGGAGCCTCAGAATATGGACTTGGGTATCTTCTGTTCTATTCAGTGATCACTGTTCTATGCCAGGGGTGTCAAACTGCCGGCCCACAGGCCGGACGCATCATCCAGAAGCCGCACCCACCCCATTGCCGGCAAAACCGTCCCGATACGTTGCGCAATGTCACATGATGTCGCAAGTTTGACATGTCTGTTCTATGCTATGCCATGAGGTTCCATCTCATTGATTATGTTTTTAAAGTGTAAACAAAGTGAGAGAAGCCAACGTACATAAGATGTTCCCTGCAATCATAACTATAAATTGCTATCACACAGTATTCCAATCGTATAAGGCAGGGGTCCCCAATTCCTGGTCCATGGACCGGCACTGGACTGCAGCATGCCAGAAACCGGACCACACAAACAAGCAAAGCCCCATCTGCAGGATGCAGGCAGTACATGAAACCATGCCCCCTCCGGTCCACGGAAAAATCTCCCTCCACGGAACCAGTGCCTGGTGCCCAAAAGGTTGGGGACCTCTGGTATAAAGCACCAATGTGCATGGAGCTGCTTTGCACAAGCAAAATATCCTTTGCAGATACCATCCTGAAAATGTATATTCAGTGAATGCTACCAATTGTATAGTCCAGTTCTTTTCTTTTCCATGGTTCTTATCTTTCAATTGGAAAAGAGATAATCACACAGTACACTGTGAATATGAATACTGTTCAAAGACCACAGTACATATGATTAGTTTTCTCTAAAATGAAACAACATTAGTTGCTAGGTTACCTTTTGATTTAACTGCAAGGAAAGCATACCTTCCACTTTGTTCTAAAAAGGATTGTCCTAAATTTGAGTTTAGCAATCTTGTTGTGGGTTTCCCCTATGCAACTGCTATAGAATTTGCAGATATCTCAAGTAAAAACCTCAGAAGGAACGAACCATTGTTTACTGTCCTTCTAACTCTCTAAGCTTCTTCTTTTTCAAAGACCAGTAAAACAGCTCAAAAAGACAACAGACACAAAGATTTAATTAAAAAAAACCTGTTTAGCCAACCAGACTTTGGATAAAAATGAGATTTTTCTGAAAGAAACAGGCAGAACCTGAAATATTTCTGTTTGTGGAACAGCAGGAGATTCCAGATTGGTTCAGACTTTACTACAACATAGAGTGCTAAGTTAGATTTCCTGTTTTACACTATAAATGATGCTAAGGTACCTTTTCATTTAGAAATCCCCTTCTCTCCCATATTTAGGTCATGCAGTATGGTTTCCTATACTCAGAAGTAAGTTGTGTCAACAGTAGTGAGAAGAAAGAGGAAGGAGAATCCATAAAGATTATTTGGTTCCACAGATCTTCAAAGTTGGATCTTCTTGTTTCACTATTAAACATGGTTATTTCCTTCTTTCCAAGAGGCAGGATTCTTCATTCTAACACAAACATTAATTTTCACAGGTGATTCAGCAGAAGAAATTGACCTAACTCTGGTGTATCAAGCAGCAGCTAATGGAGACATTAATACTTTAACTGCTGTCATCTGTGAAGATCCTTCAATATTAGAATGCTGTGATAGTGAGGGTAAGGTAACTAATTCCTATGGTTTTATCGTTGTAACACCAGTTTTGGTATGATTATCTTCTATCTTACCGAAGAAAAGTGATGGGGGTTTTTTAAACACTTTTATTTATAGCTTCATTGCACACTCATTTACTGTATTTCTGTCTAGTAAAATGTGTCATCGGTACAACAGATGTGAAATCATAAGTGTCTGAAATATGTGAAATAACAAGGGTTCATCAGAATCATATATCCTGAAAGCCAAGCAAAAGACCATATGTTAGACAGGTTGACATATTTACTGCAGCTGCACATAGTAAGTTTTCTCTACAACTCTGGGGAAGAGGGGGGGAACCAAAGGTTTGATGATAGCTTGCACCTAGACATGTATAGCTTGTCTTTAACAGCACAACCACAGGTTGTTCGCTTAGATTCAGAGAAAGGATTTGACTCAAAATCACCCAGTGAGCTCCACAATCTAGATCCCACTGATTCCACCATGCTGCAATGGCTCCCCATTCTTGAAAAAATATAGGAGTAGCTATGCATTCTTTCAGAACCCCTAGGAACTCTAGTTCAGGAACTTATTTATCTATATTTTGCATCACAAATGTGGTGGTCCATTCTGATTGGTTGCTCACTTGTAGAGTATGTTCACCTGTGATTACATAGTAATAGTGATAGCAATGATATCTGTCAAACTGCGAGCATGTGACATCACAAATAACTCTATTCCTGATTAGTCTAATCCAGGGGTGTCAAACTCGCAACATCACGTGACGTGTCATGACATTTTTGCCATTGCCGGCAATGGGGTGAGCGCGGTTTCCCTATGATACATCTGGTCCGCGGGCTGGCAGTTTGACACTTCTGGTCTATTGTTATTAAGGGAGAGCATAGGCTTTGACCAAAGCAGGAACTGCACCAGCAGTAATAGACATAATAAATGCTAGGAAGCATTTAGTTTGCATCAGCTGCTTTCAGAGAGCAAATACAAAAATGTTTTTGATTACCCAAAGCTAATGGGGTAAAAATTGACAATGAGCATATTATAAAACAGGTAGAAAGCATTTGGCATACTTTATGCCTAACGTATAATATTTACATCTAATGATATTTAATTTCAATAATTCCAAATGAAAATATAAAAATATGTAATTACACTAAACATTGTAGCCACAGTGGGCAAAGTGGGGATATACAATTTCATGCAAGTGTGTGGAGCCAAGATTTTCAGAGTGTTTGAGGCATTTGAGATTGAGGAATTGTTCAGACATGTTAGGTCTGAGTTCACACTTCTGTTTTTAAGGTGGCCTGTTTCATGGGGCAGAAAATATCCAGTTTGGAGGTCAAATACAACTAAATCACAGCTTGCTGAAAAACACTAATCAGTTAAGGTGGCCAAAAGACTAATGAGGAAAAGATACCTATCAGTTTTGTGGCAAGCCAAATGTTATACTTATTAACAGGTGAAGCAACTGTCCAGTAAGAAGTAAATAAATAAATATCTGGGCCTTGTTGATTCAAAAAATAATTTAGGAAGAAAAAAGGAGAAAGTGGAAGATTGTCTCTTTTTTCACATCACCAATTTGAGGTCATTTAAGAAAAGCAGAAAATGGGAAACTGAAGCTACACTTGTTTTTTATGTGTGTCACATATATAGCACCCATTAAAAACAGTAGTTTTGATTGCAACATTGCAACTGTTATCTTGACTAGTTTTTTTTTTCTTTTAACCACACCCTGTGCATACCCGAGTCTTTTTGAGCTTCTGGGACACAATATGGAATTGCCTAGTATTTACGGGGGACATGTAATACACAAAAAAAATTGAAGTTAAAAAAGGGGAAGCAAACAAGTTTATTACTTCCCCTTTTCTAAGACAGTTCAAAAATCTAAGCACTGGAATAAGTAATTCTTCTTGCCCACAAAATCCTGCTGTATGAGATTTGTCAGCATTTTTAAAAGCCCTTCCTGAAACAGAAAGCAATTAGAAGAACATAAACATAACTGTGCCTCACATTTCAAAGTTTTGCTGTTGATTTGTTCTGTTTGCTCTCCGTACAATTTTTAAGCAGCAATCCTTATGGGCAAAGATTGGCATATCAATCAGCAAAAGATAAAAAGGAATATGTTGTCCAGCACAAATAGATGGTTTATGAGATTGTAGAGAGGAAATATAACAGCCATCATTCACTCTTCAGAGAAACAGCAAATGGTATGCCAGATTCTATGTGCTAATGAATATTCCCACCAAGGGGCCAGTAATCTACTGCTAGTAGACTTTAACTAGCAGTGGGAAGAGTGTTGAACCTCGAGAACTCTATAAAACAGAATCTTGGAGCTAGACCTACCCCTTCTCAAGCATCAGGAGTCAGCCTAAGATTGAAGAGAAGAACTAACATAAAACAATGCTTCCTTCTTATCCAAGGTTGCACACTGTTTAGAATGCAGTACTGCAGCTATTTCTGCTGAATGCTGGCTCCCAGCAGTTCAGCAGTTAGAGTCTCACCAGCTCAAGGTTGACTCAGTCTTCTATCCTTCTGAGATCGATAAAATGAGGACCCAGATTGTTGGGAGTCCTCATCTTGCAACTATTTGTTTAGCAACTACATGAAGTTACAATGGCACAAAAAAAAGTGTCTTACAACTGGTCCTCGCACGTAAGACTGCTGTAGCATCCCCATGATCACATGATCAAAATTCAGGCACTTGGCAACCAGTAAGTATCTATGACGGTGGTAGCATCATGTGATTGCTATTTGCAACTCTTCCAGCCAGTTTCCAACAAGCAATCAAGGGGGAAGCCAGATTCACTTAACGACCGTGTGATTTGCTTAAAAACTGCAGTGATTCAACAACTGTGGCAAAAAAGATGGTAAAATCAAGCACATCTCACTGAATTATTACCTTGCTTAACAATGAACACTCTGGTCCCAATTATGGCCATTAATTTAGGACTATCCTGTATATATGATATATGAGTTCATACAGCCTATGTAATTTGTTTTAATCAATGACTACTGTCTTATCAATATGAAGAGTAAGACAGTAGGGATTCCAATCAAGAACTAAAGCCAAATTCTCTGACAGTCCTTAGTTTGCATCTGAATTCCAGATGCATAAACCAAGTTCACATATGCTAAACTGTGGTTTACTTAACTTATTTAATATTTAACTGTTCATTCAATATGTATCCCACTTTCCTTTGAGGATTCAGTGTGGCATATATGGAACTCCCTTCTTCACTTAATCTCTCAAAACAGCCCTCTGAAGTAGGTTAGGTTGAATCAAGTCACTCCATGAATTTCTATGGTTGAATGTGAAAATATGGAGTTGAAACTGGATCTCCTTTAATCAAAAGATTGGAGTAAAGGTAAAGTAAATTGGAGTTGGAGTAAAATTGAAAAACTGCAAGGGAGATTTGAAAACAGCATTATAATAAAATTAATCCAGTAATAACTGAGGTTGGAGTTTCTGGATGAGATCTTTTATCAATACTAATCCTCTTTAAAAAAGGAAGTGCTTGTTATATCAATTGAAATAAAGGTCAGAAGACACTGTATTCTAAGACCCTCTCTTATCTTTGCCTCTTTGGCATTTATGTGGGCACAGCTATGGTTGCATTGAAGTTGGCTAATTGTTCATATATAAAGAGGAATAGAAATAACTTCACTAGCTAAATCCCAGCAAACACATGTTGAAACGGAACCCCAGATGTAGACATTGGACAAGGTGACTGCACAATACTTTTTGTACTGTGAAAATGTTTCATGTTTATGTCATTTTTTTTCTTTTCAAGGCTCTACCCCTTTGATGCATGCCATTTCAGGGCGCCAACTTGATACAGTGAAATTGTTGCTAAAGATGGGAGCCAATATTAACAGCCAAGATGCCCGAGGGCGCACTAGTTTATCTTTGGCAACCTATCTGGTACAGAATTTCCTTGTCTTACACATTGTTTTAGGGAAGTGTTGAGCTGAAATAGAGAAATGAATATTCTTTATTAGAGCCAGTAGTTAGGCCTAACAAAAGACATTACTGGTTAAATGAGACCTAGAAAATCTTGCTCAATTTTAGCTCAGTATATATTAATTTAATTGCCTCTTCTATGAGAGGAATTGTGAGAAACAAAAACAGAGAGAAATATATTCAACAGTTTCTCAAAATATGTATAATGTATTATTTTAATGATGGAGCTTCACTGGAATTATATATTCCGTTTCTATCTCTTGGGTGGAGTGCAGAAGTAATTCAGATAATTTCTACCAACACTCTACCTAGAGACTGAAATGTCTAAAACTATCCTCTCAATACTCCAGTAACCCAAAAATATTCTTCTGTAGACCAGTTAAATAAATCTACCTGGAAAGAAAGGGACAAAGCCTCTCCCAACTTACTGCAATCAGATTGTATAGGATTTATTTTTAATCCTACAGTAAAAACAATAATGAACAAAATATAAGAAGGATCAGCCAGTCAGTCACCACAGTGGTATTTAGGGTTATTTATCCGACATTGATGACAATAATCCAGTAAACAGGATATGGCTTTGGTTTTTGGGGTTATCTAACACTAGACGATGTATTAGTTAACTTGCTGTGTGTAGTACCACACTGGCCATGGGGTAACATGAATGTGCCCACTAATTTGGGGAAGAAGGGTGGGAATTCAGTGCAGAACCTTTACTCAGTTCCCAGGATTTTCTGAGTAAATGAAACTTTGTTCTATTTTCAGGGATGGCTTGAGGGTTGTGTTAGCCTGCTAAGAAATGGAGCCAGGCAGAACATCCCAGATAAAAATGGAAGATTACCCCTACATGCTGCCACTGCTGACCCTAATGTCAGGTATCCTTCTTGAAACTACTCAGAGATATTTTTTTAATAGCGTTCCCTAATAAGTTTAGTTCTTGTATTGCAAGAGTAACATCACCTCCCCTAGGCAATCCATACAGTAGACTAAGATGAGAATTCCACTAGATTCTACCCAATCAAAATGTTTGTCATTATGTTTTTTATTAGTCTTAAGCATCCTGTGCTATCAGTTAAACAGATAAAGAATTGCAGAATTTCATAGCTATCATGCTGTTAATGTACTAAGGGTTTGGAGCAATAGATCCCAGGCATATATCCTTCCTCCCTTTTTGTTCAAGAAATCTGTAAGGCTGTTAATCAGGGTATGGCCAACAGACATCTATGTGTAACCCCCATTTTATTTCGGCTGTTACTCCAATGGGTGGGATTTGCATCTGCAACGTGTGCAACCAGCATCAACATACTGCCTATATGCACAAGTCAGATGGTTCTTGCAAAAACACAAATACAAATACACTTTAAATACCTTATCTTCTCCAACTAAAGAAAGATAAGTATAAAGAGAGAAACAGAGACAGATAAAGTGTTGTGAGTATAACTTATTTGGACTTCAGTAAGACATTTGATAAAGTAGACCACAACCTACTACCTGACAAGATAGAAAAATGTGTGTTAGACAGCATCACCACCAGATAGATTCATAACTGGTTGACCAATTGCACCCAACGTGTGGTCTTTAATGCAACTGCATCTACAGGGAAGGAAATATGCCCCGGGATATCCCAATGTTCTGTCTTAAGCCCGGTACTCTTCAATATCCTCTTCAATGATTTAGACAAAGAGAGAGAAGGGGAACTCATCAAATTTGCAGATGACACCAAGCTGGCAGGAATAGCCAACATCCCAGAAGATAGGCTCAAGATACAGAAGGATCCTATCTAACCAAACTAAATTTTCTGTCATGTCATGATGAGCAAAGTAAGGTTCTATATTTAGGAAAGAAAAACCAAATGCACAAGTATAGAATAAGGGGTACCAGGCTCAACAGTAATAACTGTGAGCTAGATCTTGGAGTCCAAGTGGACAATCACTTAAATATGAGCCAGCAGATGCTGCAGCTGCCAAAAAAGCCAATGCTGTTCCAGACTGCATTAACAAAGGAATAGAATCAATAACATGTGAAGTATTAATAGCACTTTATAATGACTTGATAAGACCACATTTGGAATATTGCATCCAGTTTTGGTTGCCACAATATAAAAAAGATGGTGAGACTCTGCAAAGAAGAGCAACAATGATGATTAGGGGATTGGCGCTAAAACATATGAAAAATTGTTGCTGGAATTGGGTATATCTAATTTAACGAAAAAAGGTCTAGGGGTGACATAATAGCAATTCCAATATCTAAGAGGCTGCCACAAAGAAGAGAGGATCAACCTATTCTCCAAAGCACCTGAAGGCAGGACAAGAAGCAATGGATGAAAACTAATCAAGGAGAGAAGCAGACTAGAACTAAGGAGAAATTTCCTAACAGTTAGAACAATTAATCAGTGGAATAACTTGCCTACAAAAATGACCAAAGTTGAATTATCACACTTTGGACACATTATACAAAGAACTGGTTTTCTAGAGAAGGCCCTAATACTGAGAAAGGTGGAAGGAAAGAGAAGAAGATAACCACTCACAGCAAGGTGGGTCAACTATTACAGTAGCAAAGGGTGCACCACTGGAAGATCTGAAGGACCAGTTAGAGACAGATTGTCATAGAGGAAATCTATCTGGCTGGTCACTAAGACTTGATAGTGACTTGATGGTATGTAATCAATCATTGTAAAGTGCACAAGTCCAATCATTCAGTGAATTTATGTATACATAAAGCAAAAACCAAAATCAAATTCATTTATAATTAATAATCATTTACTGATTTTCCTGAAGTAGGTAAGGAATAATAGTATGAACCAGAGATAAAAACTTGATACCATCCAGATCTTTTGGACCTGAACTCTCTTCAGCTCCAGCAAACATGATTAAGAGCAAAAGATGTAGCTGTTACTGACAAATATGTGCCATTTGCCTGGTATTATTTGTTTTATTCTGTGCACATTACAACTTAAATTAAATCTGTACAGTTATATTTTACATACGTATACATCAAATTTTGAGAGATATCCCAAAAATAAAAATTTAGAAGAAGCATTTGATAGAAGATAGATGAACTGATGAAAATTGAATGTGCAGCCATACATGATGCTTAATTCAGTATTTGCACCTACATCTCAGTTTTTCTTAGTCATCGGCATTTTGTTAATTTCCTGCCATCTCCATTTTTCTTTCTATATCAGTTGAACAGTGCACTTTGAAGTTTTCAACACAATCACAATAGCACTATTATTAAATAAAAAGTCCACAGAAAATGAACCAGTGATATTTAGAAAAGAAATCGTAATTTGCTTTAACAGCAGAACACTGGGATCCCTGCAAAATAAAATTTCTACAATCCCCATGGTAACAGGTAAACCTTTGGTCAGAACGGAAGTATGCCAGCTGCTCACTCCATTTTCTATCAACCCAAGTCAACAAAATTAGTTCTTCTGAATACGATCACTCTCTTACTGGAAGGTACTGTTGAAGTGCCACCGTTCTTCAAACTATATATTTGTTTTTCTCTTTATCTTTGCTCAACCTGACCATAACAAGTGGAAATCTGACTGCAGAAGGCAATAACAAGAACAGATTGCCAGTGATAACACTGATAATGATATTGATAGCAATCATACCAATAACAATTTTTAAAAATCAGCCCTAAGACATCCAGATTAAATGTCAAGAAACACTGACCTTTGACAACTGTAATACTGCAGTTGAAGTAAATATATTAATTGATAGTTACTTTGCTTATTTTGTTTTATATAATCCTAGAGATCCATAAAGAAGACAGAAAACCTATAACCTGCATTAGAAATCGTATTTGGCCTCTCTCAGCTTCTGTAAATTAAAGCAGACTTGAAGTGGGAGATTTATTTTTTTTTACTCGCATCTTAAAATGTTATTTATTTATTTATTTTATTTATATAGCTGCCTATCTCATATACATGACTGTGGGCAACTAACAGTTAAGAACAGTTTGAACAAGGTGGTGTTTTCTTTGCAGATGGTTGATTTTATTATTGATAAAAATTCTTGTCCAGAAAGAGAAAGTTGGAGACTGGTCAATAATTATCAGAATCTAGAACGTCTAGATTTACAGCTTCAGAGCCGTGGTGGCGCAGTGGTTACAGTGCAATACTGCAGGCTACTTCTGCTGACTGCCAGCTGCCAACAGTTCGGCAGTTCGATTCTCACTGGCTCACGGTTGACTCATCCCTCCATCCTTCTGAGGTTGGTAAAATGAGGACCCAAATTGTTGGGGGCAATATGCTGACCCTGTAAACCACTTAGAGAGAGTTGTAAAGCATTGTGAAGCGGTATATAAGTCTAAGTACTATTGCTATTGCTATTCCTGAGGAGGCTGTGCACAACCACTATTTTCAAGGCAGGCAGGCATAGTCTTTCTCTCAAGGATGCATTTATCACTGCCCTCACCCAGCCCACAGTCATCTCCCTGGAGCTTTCATAATTCAGAGGGACAGAGGTTCAGACTACAGGTGATACAGCCAATGTCTCAGAGAACTCTTGTCCACTTCCTTTGGACTCATAGATTCCCACTTACCTTAGATAGCAAGATGGATCTTAGTCACTGCCTCAAGACACGGTCACCTAGCATCTAAGTCTAAACAGATCGGTGCAGTTTTATTGGATGGCCATGAACACATAGAAATATAAGAACACATAAATACTTGTATAATTCAGCATATTTTAGATACCTAATATAGTGAATGTAAGCTATGAAAGCTTATGCAATAATAAATGTGTTAGCCTTTAGGATAATAAAAAATAAATAAGGGAAAGCTTGCAATGAAACTATTCCTTGAGCCATTAAATTGAAAACAGTCTTATGTAAATTCAGATATCTTGCTTTAAAAAGTTATTCTTATCATCTATGTCAGTGGTCCCCAACCTTTTGGGCACCATAGACCAGTTCCATGAAGAAAGGTTTACTGTGGACCGAACGGGGCATGGTTTCACATGCTGCCTGCATCCTGTGGATAGGGCTTTGCTTGTTTGCTTGTGGACTGGTTGCTGGCATGCGGCGGGTTGGGGATCCCTGATCTATGCGGTCCCATTGATTCTAGAACCGTAAGTGGCAAAAAAAAAGACCAAAAGAAGACTATTTAAATGCTATTGAATTTTGTTTATGACACAGTATCCAATCTGCGTCGATCACCAGGACCAAAGGGTTAGTCTTCCCAGCTTTTGGACTCTTGCTGGAGCCCATCCTCAGGGAACTTTTGTTTATGATGTATTGGATTATAATGTATTACATAGAGAGTCTTTGACTTAGGATCACAATTGGGACGGGAACATCTGTTGTTATGCAGTGCAGTCATTAAGTAAGATGCACCCAACATTACAACCTTTTTTGCCATAGTTAAGTGTCTCCGGCAGTTGTTAAGTGAATCACATGGTATTTAAGTGAATCCAGCTTCCCCCATTGACTTACTACCTGAGAAGCTGTAAATGGCAATTACATGCCCCTAGAATGTTGCAAATGTCATAATACATGTCACCCAAATTTTGATCACATGACTGCGGGAAATTATGACAGTTGTAAGTGTGAAGACAGTTTGCAAATTACTTTTTTCAGGATCATTGTAACTTTGTGCGGTTGTTAAAAAATTGATAGTAAATCGAGGACTACCTCTAATGTATTGAATATAATTTTGTTCTCCATAGACTTTTATCTGTCTTGCTTCAGCAGTCAGATCTAAGTGAAATTAATCATCAGGATAATGAGGTAAGCAATCAAATCTCCACCCAAATATATTCCACATTGTGGTCCCCGAGACAGTGATTCATGCTAAAAGATCTAAAATCAACTCATACTATTTAGCATTATTTTCTGCACCGAAATGCATCATGAAGGCAAAAAAGCCAGCAAGCTGCCCTGTTTGCAATTTGCAGTATGCCTTTCAGTTCCTCATAAGCAGAATTTGATAGGTAAATGAATGACAGCAGTGCAAAAGAAATGGTGGCAGTGGGAGAGATGGAGGAAAGAGCAACTCTTTAGACGGTGTATCTTTTTCTAGAAAATTGAATCTTCTGACTGTAATTGCTAAAAACTGATAGCAGTTTCCTACCATTTTTAAGCAGGAAACATGGAAACCATAGTGTGAAAACTATAGCGTGCTGAAGTCAGAGTAACTACAGAAGTATGAGAAACTCTACTGTGCATACTTTTATCTTTACCCTACTAGAGGTATTTAAAAGAATAGAAAAATGGAACAATTTTTCACAAAGTAACTTCTATGCCAAGGCAAGGAATTTTCCATTGTTTTGCTATCTTATTCTACAGTATATAAGATAGCATATTATTATTAGGATGTATCTATTTTATTCTAGATAAGAAACACTTTTTCTTTATGCCCAATTAGAAATGGTGGAAAATATTTGTAGATGGTAGATGTTGGTGGTGGTTTGTTCTCCAAGCTTGCTGTTTCATTTCCGATGTTTCATCACCAGACTAGGTAACATCACCAGGAGAACTTCGGTTGAAGTGTCTTGTTTCAGTTCTCTTTTGCTTTTATAGGTCTTATGTGACCTTGTGGTAAGGTTACCCTGGCTGTCATGTGAAGCGGCTAGTGGTCAACATCATCGTTGGTTGGTTGCTCAATTTATGACCAATCCTACCTTCCAGAGCAGTGTTTCTCAACCTATGTTGGCTGGGGATTCTGGGAGTTCAAGTCCACATATCTTCAAAATTGAAATATTGCTCTACAAAAAGCATATGCTACCTAAAGATCTAACAATTTTGTTGTGATTTTCAGGGAATGACATCACTCCACTGGGCTGCATTCCACAATCAACCTCAGCATGTTCAGACATTACTGCATAAAGGATCAGATCCAACTTTGGTGGACAAAGATTTTAAAACAGCCCTTCACTGGGCAGTTCAGGTATGGAATAATTGCTAACCATGTAGTGGCCCTATATTGCATCTTGAAAGGGGAAAGGACTATAATTCTAGTCACAGCAGCATCTGAAACCTGACCAAATCTACGGGAGGAATATAAGCAATGATTAATCCAGCTGTGTCTCATACCCCTCACACTGGGAATGGCACTGTAGGGTACAGTAGAAAAACAAGTCATCATTACATATTTTTTTTTACAAAAAATTGTGAAAGTATTTCAAGATCAGTTATATTCATATCCTTAAAGCTAACTTTAGCATGCAAAAAAGGTGGTTCCCCTTTGTAATAATTGCATTACTATAAGGCTGTTTAAATTCAAGAAATGTAAAAATGCTGGCTTCTGGTTACAAAAAGAAAAGAACCTAAATATGGCTTTGCTTAAAACCACTATATCTGAGAATCAAATTACCAAATTACAATCTTGGGTCTTTTTTCATATTCTGAAATGACATTACAGCATGGTGTTATCAGGCAAATGTTAGCACACTAGTGTTCCAGATGGCCTAGGGAAGCTAACAAAGGCACTAACCTCCCTTTCCCCATTTTTAAAATGTTATTAATAAATTAGGATCCAGCACTAGAAAAAGAAATGTCTGGTGCCACTGCCATCTCTGAAGTTCTTAGCTAATTTTCAAGGTAATATTCCTCTGGTGTTATGTCAGGGCCCAAAGGCATTTTTAGAAAAATAATATGGTTGCAGTCAAAGTCTGATTTAAATTAAACAAATTATTGAGCTGGTTAAAAACCAAGAACTTAATGAGTAATAATTCAGTTTGGATAGCCCTAACAGAACATTTGTAAATAAAGCAGCATGAGTACTTTTTGGGATAAGGAGGTCAAAAATGCTTATAGATCTAGAATTTGTGCTTAACAATGTTGATAAATAACATATTCTCTATAATTGGTTTTCAGAGTGGAAACCGGATCCTCTGTTCTATTATCCTGAACCACCATCAAGGCCCATCAATAATAAACTTCGATGATGAGAATGGGAAGACTTGCATTCATGTTGCAGCTGCTGCAGGATACAGTGGTGTTATTAGTGAGCTGGCTAAAATCCCAGAATGCAACCTGCAGGCGCTGGATGTGGATGACAGGTAGCCATGGAAACAAAGAGAAGAGCTGTCTGGGGCTTTGCTTGCCATAGTTGAAAGAGGGTTGACTGCCTTTGAATGCAACAAGGGTCCTAATGAAAGTGTTTCTCCTTGGCCTTCTCTTTGTTAAACAGCAACTACAGTATTCAGTGGGACCTCTAGTCTGTCATCAGCTAGTCACATGTTTTTAATGAATGCACCTATTACCCATGACATATTAAGTCAGATAAAGTAGGAGGTTTCTCTTGCAAAACTGGGATTACAGGGAATGGGAAGGGCTTGTAAACATGGTCTAAAATATGGTGAGCAACTGGCAGCCCCTTTCCAAGAACCCTGTTAAGTTCAAACGTTGGGAGGAAGTTTTCCTTTCCTGCATCCTGCTGATTGTCAGAAAATATAGAAAAGTAATGTGAAAATGGGAACAAATGAGCCTCTCAGAAGGAAGGGGTTATCTCCACTGAATTTTCGCTCTAGTCCTACTCCCTGTGGGTGTTAGCTTTACCTTCTGGGCAATCTTTCTCCCCAAGGAAAAGAGGTCCTTAATAGGAAAAATGCTGCAGAGCAGTGCATCTATCTAGGTCAGAGGTCCCCAACCTTTTGGGCACCAGGGACCAGTTACGTGGAGAGAGGTTTTTCCATGGACCGGAGGGAGCATGGTTTTGTGTACTGCCTGCCTCCTGTGGATGGGCTTTCCTTGCTTGTGCGGACCAGTTGCTGGCATGCCGCAGCACGGTACTAGTCAACAGACTGGGGGTTAGGGACCCCTGATCTAGGTGATCTTTAGCTCTAGCATTCTTGTTTTAGAACTTCCCCCTTGTTATCAACTGAAGAATTGCAGTACTAAAACCAATAGTGAATTTTATTTCTGTGTTTTTAAATGAAAAATCACAGAAAAACAATTTGGGTTTTTTGTGTTCTGTATATAAGAAGAAGATGAATACCTGGACAACACAATGTAGAACAATTTAATTTTTGATTTTCAAAATAATAAAGTTCAGATATGTAGTGTGAATTATTTGGAAACTGAGAAGCTAAGCTAGTATAGGCCTGGCCATTCACTTGGATGGAAAATACTGCAAGCCCTGAATAGTTTATGATACAATAAAGGAAATATTTTTATTTAAATTATCAGATTGAGAATTTGCACTCAGTTCATACTGGAAATTCAAAATTCAAGTATTGGCATATGTGGTAAAATATTAATATTAATACAAAATCCTACTGGTTTTGTTGTATTAAACTTGAGGTTTCAAAGAATGCTTAATTTAATTCTTTTAAATCAGAACTACATGGAGGCTATCAGAGAAAAACAATGAGGCAATTCACATCCAATTGTTAAAAAAGATTTTGACCTCACTGCTGCCAAGAAAACCTGTTTTATAGGTTGTGGTAAGCTTATTGTTGCCATTTGTCTCTGACATGCCTGTGCATTTAAAGGAACTGATACCATGCGCCAAGGTCAAACTTTGAAAGAACTTAATCAACTCAATGGATTAATTTAAGCTTAAACAATTGAGCCCTGACCATGTAAATATATGAAAGACTTCTACAGATCTTTTTGTCTTTAAATCAAGAAAGGGTTAGTTAATCACAGCTATCAGAAGTTCCATATAGTAACTGACCTGGCAGAATGGAAGAATGAATTAAATCCCATGTAGGGCCAAGTCTGTTTATGGCTAATATTAATCCCCTTGAATTCTCTCTTTAAGAATTCTGGTGACACGAAAACTACCATGCATATCATGAAAACAATACCGATTTTCTTACCTAAATCTGACTTTAAACTGCCCGTTACTGTATGGATTTTTCTTTACTTATTTTTTCATTAGGACACCTTTACATTGGGCTGCAGCCGCAGGAAAAACTGACTGTGTTAAGACTCTGCTACAATTGGGGGTAGAAAGCAGCCCCAGGGATATCAATGAGAATACACCCCTATCGTATGCCATCTATTGTGGACACACAGCATGCATTGCACTACTCTCTCAAGTAAACAGGTAGAGTCTTTCCTTTATAATAAACTAGATTCAAATTTTTCAATTTGGAATAGAGCTGGAAGGGACGTTGGAGATCTTCTAATCCAACCTCCTGCTCAAGCAGGAGACACTATACCACTATACAAATGGCTATCCAGTCTCTTCTTAAAAACTTCCAGTGATGAAGCACCCACAACTTCTAAAGGCAAGTGTTCCACTGGTTAATTGTTCTCACTGTTAGGAAGTTTCTCCTTAATTCCAAGTTGCTTCTCTCCTTGATTAGTTTCTAACCATTGTTTCTTGCCCTGATGCTTTAGAAAATAAGTTGACTCAGTCTTCTTTGTGGCAGCCCTTCAAATACTGGGATACTGCTATCATATCAGCCCTAGTCCTTCTTTTCTCTAGACTAGCCATACCCAAATCCTGCATTTTTTTTCATATTCATACTGCTGAATATGAGCATATTGCTGAGCACGAATATATTCAATTGCTGAATATGACCATTCTGCAATTTATCAGATGACTGATTATGCTTTTCATTGAGGATCATTGCAAATTACCATGCAATGTAATATATCTGTACATATTAAATGTTTTCCTATTTCTGTATTCAAAGTGGACTATCCCAGGCTATATTTTAATCCATCATAGCTATACCAAAATATTTTACTGCCTGACCCAAATGAATTTTCTTTCAGAAAGAAAATTCTATAACTCATGAACAGAACTTCCTGTTGTTGTATCTTGGGAAGAGGTTCTGTTAAATACTTTGTGCAGAAAATTGGAAACTATACATCCTTTTTTAAGTACATCCTTGGTTTGCTTCTTCTATTCTGTATTCCACTGTTGATACCACCACGTTTTACAGCTTTGAATATCAAGGTATAATATAGCAGAGATATCCAAACTTTTTCATGCTACAGAACCTATTAGTTTAAAAAAATATGGAAAGCTTCAGTGCTAAAAAATTGGCTTTTCCCCACCCACAGTCCTTATTCTCCACCTGAAACCACATCAAATTCTGCAGAACAGTTTGAAAAATCCTCATATACTGTATACAATCAATGACTCTAACTAGGAATTTGAAACTGTCATCAGTTGATCATTATATTTCATAGCTGTCTAGGGCACATTTTAAATTAGGTTCAGAACAAATATAATAAATTGCAGTTTAGAAGATAGCATTTTTAAAGTATTAAAAGCACTTCAATAAATCAATATTTGCTGGTATACACACACATGCATGCACACATATAACCTTTTTTTTCCCTTGCAGTACCTGATCAAATAGATATATCAGCTTTTAGTAGGACTTTAAAAGATTTGCAAAATTTATTTAACTGGCAATTGAATGGGACAGCTAGAAAATATCTACCTTTATGCTCTATCAGAACTAGTTCTCTGGAAAGCTATCATGTCCACATTAACGAACGTTCAGATTTAATTTGCTAAACATAATGAGATTAATAACTCATTTTAAATTTGGACTAGAAATTTATTTTAGATGAAATCCACCACAATAATGTAACTGTTCTATTAAAAAATCAATGCACTTTGTATACTCTGGTCATTTTGTGCAAATGAAAGTAAGCAGTCTAATTTGGATATACAATCATCCAAGAAAAAAATTGCATTAGTTTTCTCTAATTTTCTGAAAACTAAATGTGTCTTACTCCAGTTAATAAGTATAATCAGCATTATTTCCTGGGCTGTTAAATTCAACAGTGGAAATATTTATTTTATTTTATTTGTATCCCATTTTTATTGTTTTTACAAATAACTCAAGGCAGCGAATATATCTAACAAACTTTCCTCCTCCTATTTAAGCCACTTTTGAAAAATACTGCATAGGCTCAACGGTGTGGAACTGAGCTTAAATGCTGGATTGTTCACGTTCGCCATCAGCCATGGGAACTCACAGAGTGACTTTGGAACAATTGTTTTCTCTCACCTCGGCACAAAATAAATCTAATTAATTAATTAATTAATTAAATTAGCTAAACTATATTACTTAGAATGAGGTTACTTTAAAAAAAGCTAAAACAAGAATTCCTTGCAAGCATTATGTGGCACTATGCAATTAAAATGTTGTAATTCTCTATGCAGAATCACAATATTATGTTTATCTGGTAGCTACTTAGCTGTTGAGTCAATTCAAGATTCTCTTTATACCGAAAACTTATTTGCCCACATTTTATGAACATTAGATGAAAGAGATTTGCCTCCGATTTTGTTACTTCTTTTGATGACTTCTTTTTTCCTGATAACATCTTTTAAAATATTGTAAAATATTGTATTTCTATACGTTATGTTATACTTGGTAAAGTGCTTCCAGTTGTACTTACTGTATTTTTGTATGAATGTTGTAAAATCTGTATCAATGTTTCTTTTGTACAGTAAGTAGTAATAAATGTATGTTTAATCATCATGAACTTTATAAGAAACTTATTCATATTGATTTTACAACATTCATACATACATACATATGTACATGGAAACATATTATTGAAGTGACATACAGAACACTGACTGATCTATGCTTTTCCAATGCAAGTGGTGTGTAGACATTTAAAACAAATAAAAAAAACAGAATAATAAAGGGGAATGGTAATTGATGACCTCTCCTTCCTGATAAGGTCTTTTAAAATATATTATTTCTATAAATTATTTTATACTTTCTAAAGCGTTTCCAGATGCTTTTATACAGTAAATAGTATAAGTGTAAATTTATCATCCTGAACTTTATAAGAAAGTTATTGATATTGATTTTATAACAGTTATACTGCCCAGTTCATACTACATACACCACACACACACACATGCACACACACGCACATATATACATGCATATATACATACTGACGTTAAAGATCTCTGGAGAAGGAATTTCATTTCTAATAACCCTAAATATTAATCTATGGTCCTAACAATAAAATCCCAGTGTTGATACAATCTGCTTTTCTTTCTTTAAAGATCTGAGCTACTTCATCACATTTCCTCCCATAACAATAAATTATCAAAGAAGGAAGGAAGATTCAGCATGCTTAACCAAATTTTCTCCTCTAAAAAGAAAAAAGGAGATTGTAAAGTCAATTTGAAGGAGAAGAAAAGAGACAGATCCCGGAGAGAAGAGACCTCAGAAGTAGATGAGATTATCACCACATTTGATTGCATAATGGATTCCAGCTTTGATGGCTCATCTAAGGAGTATATGAAAGCTATTGACCTTAAGAAAAGAAATGCAGACGTCAAGAAATATCTCATTTCAGAAAACAATACACCAGATTGCAGTGGCTTTCCACCAGTCAGAACACAAAGTCTCCCACCCATAACTGTGAGTCATTCTTTTTTAACAACTTCTCTCACTACAATCTCCAGCATGAATATGGATAATGATTTTGCAACTTGGTCTCAAAAAAGCAGAAGTGAACATGATTTGTCAAGCCAAAGAACCAGCCAACAAGCTTTGGATAGCCCTTGGAAAATTGACAAAAGCCAAACACCCACATATAGACTCTGGATGTCTATGCCTTCCGATAACAAACTGATAGATGGATTGTTTCCAAACAGATCCCATCATGTGGTATGTCCTCCCCATCTTCCCCATCTGCCTAATTTGTCACCAGGTAATTTTTTCCATGCTATGTTTATTTAGTGTGAGCTAAAGGAATTCTGGGTATGCTTAAAATATTGTATCATAATATATAGTAGTTTCCAGATTGAAATATCCAAATCTTCTATGCTGAAGAGTGATTCTTCCCTTAAGAAATAGGAATGAACTCAGTTTCCAAAGGGGCTTATGCAGTAGATTTTTTTCAGACAACTATCAATCATGGTCCCTTTTAGTCCTTAAAAGCACATACCTGTATATCTGCCCACACAATGCACTGTCACCAGGAAACCATGGTTTATTCAATAACGATCATTACATTGGTTTATAAATTATCAATTTGTAAGGAACAAGTCAAACTACAGAACTCACTGAACTAAATACATTGCAGTATACTGTAGGTTACTAGTATATATGAATTAGCTATCTAGAAATAGATAGAAATAGAAATAAAATGAGAACAGGTGGTTTCACATAAAATTCAGATAAACTAACTTTAGTGTAGCGGGGACTGCCTGAGAGTGCTTGCAGGAGCTTGACTGGGAAGGAAAAGATTGGGACAGCTGCAGTTGGCTTTGGGTGTGGCTGGCGTGAGTGGAAGGAGGAAGGATAGAAAAGGAAAGGAAAGGAGAAGGCCGGGGTGGCTGGAGTTGAGAGGAGAAGGTCTGGAAGCTTATTTTATTTTTCTATCAAGGGT